GGCTTTGATTCTACCAGACTGTTGATTCTAAGAATGGGTATGAGCTGTTTTTATCTTTGTTTTATCGTAAGATATAGCAATGCTTTTAATAAGAAATAAAATAATAAGTGAATGGGAAAACCCGAATTAACAAAATATTTGAATGAAATCGTTGTTGGAATAAATAGACTGAGAATTGTAGGAGAAGGATTTAAAATAAATGAAAATTACATGCAAAAGCGTGTTTATAATTCTATCGAAGTAGTACGGAATTCTTGAAACTGTTGTTAAGATAATGCCATCCTTGTTTTCGCAAAGATTTTCAGAATAAAACAATGACATTGTTCCAAATCAAATGAAGAAATTTTCGTTCGACGATACAAAAGGAAATGATTTAAAAGGCATAGAGCATGAGCTAAAATTATGAAAACAAAATTTGGAAAAAGTTGAACTTTAAATTAACCCTCCCCCCTCGCTCATTCGTAAAAAGCGTAAGAGTTTTTGAAAAAAATCTCTGTTATGAAAGAGATGTACACGGATAACTTTAATTATTCCATAATTTCAATAAAACTTTATTTCATTTATGTGTAAGTCCAAACAATTATAGTCCAAACTATAGTGTGTTCCATTAGATAAAGGTTAATAAGTTTCAATTAGCATATATATTTATATGTATCTAGTTAATTGGCTCCCACAACCGCATTGGCATGCACGTGTCTGAAACACAGCCTTTACTCGCATGTTCAAGAACATTTCCCCAGGCTATGGTCAACATACGATTTGAACAAAACTATACTCTGACCATAAAGCACGGCAATTCACGTTCTTGTTGTTGTTGTTGTTATTGTTGAATTAATGTACGAAAGGTCGCCGTATCCATAAACAGATCAATAAAACAGAACTGAAACAGCAACCGAAACCGAAACCGAAGCCGAATACTGGCAAAGTAAGGCTCCAAGGCAGCCACAAAACTAGCAACCAAATAGCAAAACCAAGCCAAGCCAAGTCAGTGGCCGATGTCAAGCAATGCCAACTGCCATTATTCCCACCACAGCCAGACTAAGAACAAAACAGAACGGAACAGAACAGGGAACAGAGAGTGTGGAGCATAAAAAACATGCAAATTCCGCAAACTAAACCCGCCCAACGATTGCGCACCCTTCCTTCCTGCCACCGCAGTCCTCCATGCCACAACTGTCTATTTGTTTGTACAAATAATGTGTAAGCAGGCATATTTTTGTCAACGAGGCTAATTTCTGTCAGAGATTTACGTGACAATGGCATGTTGAGCTCGACAGCCATAAGAAAAAGCCGAGTAGAAGGAATCGGCTAACAACACAATGCACAACACACAGCAACAACAACAAAAACTTCAGGAGCAGCAGGAGCAGCAAAAGGCAGCAGCACCACAAAAACAATTACAAGTTTCATCAAAGTGCGCCTTTTTTCTGATACGCTCCACTGCCACCCACCTACGCCTCTGTTAGTTGTGACAGAAGAGGAGTTTAATATTCCATTTAATATATTAGTAGTCTTTTATAGAGATTGTGATTATTTATTTTAGCTTTCCATCAGTTTATCTCAGAGAGGGTTTCACTGTTTATGTGTATTATTGTTTATTTTTTATGTTTATTTGTTGAGCTTTTTATGATTTTTAGGAACAGCTATAATTTAGTTCAATATTGAAATCGCTCATCTGTATTAATGGTTAGCTTATAATTTTATTTATTTTAGCTTTCCAACAGTTTACAGTCTGAGAGAGAGGGTTTCGCTTTTTATTTTTAATTTTGTTATGTTTTATATTTATTTCTTGAGCTTTCTATGATTTTTAGGAACAGCTATAATTCAGTTCAATCATCTGTAATAATGGATAGCTTATAATTTTATTTATTTTAGGTGTCCAATAATTTGTCTCAAAAAGCGTTTAAATGCAAAACTTTACTTTTATATTAATTTTATGAGTGTTTTTAAATTTTTAAGAAACATTAACAGCTACAGTTAAGTCAGCAGGACTTTCAATGTGAAAATTTATTTTTATGTTTATTTGTTCAGCTTTTTACGATTTGTAACAAACATTGCTAGCTATAGGTTTGTTATATATTTGTTTTAATATAAAAATTGCTCAATGCCTTTGTCTTGCGATGATTTTCAACTCCATTCCAAAATGTTTTCAACAGATATTTCAGCTTTTAATCGAACAAAACTAATAATACTTTAAGATTGAAGATAAGTATTATTTTAACTTATTCACGCTTTTTGGATGAATTAAATTTAAAACATTTAAGACAAGATTCTACAACCTATTTGGAGAGTAATAATACGTGACTTCACCAGCCTGATTAGATTAGTTTTCTTTTGTTTTGGAAATAATCTGCATATCGCTGTTTATACAGACTATTTAATATTTTTAAATGCTTTTTTTTTTTGGTTATTTTCTAGTTTGTTGCAGTATTGGAGATTTTTCCACAAACTAGCTTTAGTTCGGTTGATTTTTGGTTTACAAAATATGTGATAATTATAGAGCCATGTGGATTCGAATTCTCGCATTTTATGGAAATGCGAGTCTTTTGATAAGTAAGAGTATATAGAGACAGAATTTTTAGTTTCAAATGAAACGTCTGCCAATTTAAAGAAGTGTTTATCCATGTCTCAAATAAGGATAAGTTAATTAATTTCATTTCACACTTGCGTTAAATTAAACTGCAAGACAATGCTGCACCGAAGCGCTACTGCGAGGCAGGGGGTGGGGGCGGGGGCGGGGGCAGCTTTGCAATTCCATTGTAGCCTTGAGTTATTGAGAGTTGGAATGCTATGCGGGACAGCAGCAGTGGTTTGTTTTGAAATGGTGCAGGGCATACCATTGTTGGACACGCTTGACTATTGCATTCTCTCTCTTATTTCTTTTTTCCGCACTACAAGTATGGTGGAGTGGAGTGGAGCTGGGTCTGGGCGGAGGATGGGACATGGAACATGGAACATGGAACATGGATGGGTGTTGTTTTATTTTTCGGACTGTTTTGCGGCCAGTCTGTCAAAGTATGAAAAGAAATAACGGCAATGCGAATGCGCTGAGCACATGGCAGGGCACCAGCCCCAGCCCCAGCACCAGCACGGACACGGACACAGAGTCGCGTCGCAGCACGTCAAACTGGGTTAGTGCACACAACACACCCCACCCCTCAAACAACAAGTAAAAAAAAAAAAAAAAACACCAACCAACCATCAAAATGTGGGTGGGGTGTGGGGAGGTGGGTGGCTTTTCATTGTTGGCATGTCGCATTTGTTTTTGCACCTACGTTGTGTGCGCTTTATGAATGATGTGCTTGTTGCTGCTGGTCTTATTGTTGTTGTTGTTGTAGATGCTGCTGCTGCTGCTGCTGCTGCTGCTGTTCTTATTGTCGTTTGTCTTCAGCAAATAAAAGAGCGTCACACATACGCGTTTGCTTGAACGTCCTACATTTCAAAAATCTTAAAGTTGTGCCCAACTTGCAGTGCAAACCACAAACACATAAATAGATACACACACACACACACACAGGCACATTACAAATACACTCATCAAAGTGGAGAGGGACCGTGTGTCCACCCGCTTCGATGCGATGCGATGCGATGTGATGTGATGTGATGGGATCGCCTCGGTGCACATTTCATTTTTGCGCTTTTGCTGCTCGTAGTTGCTGCCATTTGCTGTTTATTGGCTGACAAGTGCTGCACGTCCGGTTGGCGAGCGTCGCTCGTTGCGGAAATGAGCAAATGACTAATGACTGACCAAAGCCGGACACAGGCACAAGCACAAGTACAGGCCCAGGCCGAGGCCCAGGCCAAAAGACCACCAGGGTTGGCAACAGAAACGAACAAAAAAAATGAAAGACCTTTATGCACAGTTTAATTGTTTGCCATCAAATTGTTAACAATTATGGAGTAGCATAAAAAGCTTTACAAGCAACGATATTTTTGCAAAATAAAAATAACAAATAGAACATCTATTTAAACGGCATTACATCCACAACATCTTCAGTACGAGTATGTCAAAGGACACGCGCGTAGTTAAAAAGTATTTACACAAATTTAAGGCCAACGAGAGCGCCTACACTCGCCTCAAGAAATGACTTTTTAAGTATGAATTTTTAAAACTTTTTGCCAAACAGAGAAAGTTTCTTATTTGTATGTATGTAGTAAGCGTGTTTCTTTTAAAAGCAAATTTAAACTTAATTTCAAATTTAAAACACCCATACAAATTGTTTTCTAAGTAAAATAATATGATGCAGCAGAATATGATTAATTTAGTAAGCCAGAGCCAGTGCTTTAAGCAAGAAAGTGAATAATAAGTAGAAACGATTGTAAATGACAAGTTTCCTTTAAGAATTGTAAATAAAACATTCAAATTGAAAAATTGTAATTAAAAAATAAGTCTTATTATTTCACTATTTAATGTAATTAATATTTAAATTAGTGCTTTAAGCGAGAAAGTTAAAAATAAGTAGAAACGACTGTAATGACAAGTTTGCTTTAAGAATTGTAAAACAAACATTCAAATTGAAAAATTTTAATTAAAAAATAAGTCTTATTATTAATATTTAAATTAGTGCGTTAAGGGAGAAAGTTAAAAATAAGTAGAATCAATTGTAAACGAAAAGTTGCCATTAAGTATTGCAAATAGTACCTTTAATTGTAATTAAAAAATAAGTCTTATTATTTCATTATTTAATTTAATTAAGCTAAATAAATGCCTAAATAATTACAACTCAATTCATGTTTAATTAAGACTGCTGCTGATTCCTACACTACTAGTGTACTGCCAAGCTATATTATTTCTTTGTATCGAACCCAATTGCCATCCCTGGCTGATGGTGTTAGCTATTCTTGTAGTTGTTGTTGTTTGTTGTTGTTTGCTGAGCGCTTCAATTAAAGCGCCACAGGAAATTGAACTTTTAGTCAAATGTAAGCGAGCAAGCGAAGGCGCCTCCCCCCATCCGCCTCCCATTCCTCCCACTCCTTTATGTCTGCTTGTTTCTACTTACTTGCTTGCCTGCTAGTCAAAAGCTTCAAAGTGTATCCAGTTGTTGCTGTTGTTGTTATGGTTGTTGTTGTGGTTGTTGTTGTTGCATATGAACGTGTAGTTTCTTAATTGCAGCTCGAACAACACTTAAATCAGCACTTCACTTGAAATCGAGCACACACACATCACTTTTATTTTTGCGTATTTTCTTTTTTATTTATTATTATTTTTATTTTTGACTTGTGTGATTTCTGTTGAATTCACTGTTGAATGCCTGAGTGCGTGTTATTTTCTTGATGTTTTTCCTTTATGCACAATTTCTTTTTGCACGCGTTACGCCTAAAGACGCGCGACGTACCGTTATAATTGTGCCATTTCTGTGGGAAAGCCGTTCCTTTTTTCAAGTTTCACTCGCCATGCCGCATCGCCGACGTCTTCGAACGGACTCAGACTCAGACACAGACGCTGTCATGTTTGTTGTTGCGGCCAGCCGCCGACTTTCTGCTGTTGCTGTCACGCCAAATTACAACCGTGTACTGACACATCCGACCGACATTATGCGCATTTTATGGCCGACGACCTTCGACGGCGGCCAAGCTTCGTCTTTTAGTACAACGGCACGAAGTGAGGCGAGCATTGAACGAAGCTCAAAGCGCACGAAGCGAAGTGTGTGGCCGTCTCTGACATTCAATTAGAAAAATATTGTCCTAGGCCGCACACGCACACCCGCACTCTCACCCTCGCTCTCAATGCAAAGCAACAGACGAACAAAGCGAAAACGTGCGAAAAATGCAATCTGCAGCATTTGCTGAGTGACTGAGTCAATGAGTGAGTGTGCTCTCTCGCGAGCGTGTGGGTAAGAGCGCGTGCTGTGCTTGACTCTCAAGCATGCGCTACGCCTTTACTTTATTTATGGCTGGCAACTCCACTTTGAAATTTCAAACCAAATAGCGGCCAGTGATTTGATGCTTGACAATGAAGATGAATGAAGTAGCAAGCAAACAAACAAACAAACACACATATATATACACAAATATGTATATACTCCTACCTACTAGGTTTATAGTTATGCGGCCCTTTGACCGCAAAGCCTGGAAAGGCTGGCCTACTGGGCTAATAAAGTTCGACCCTAAATGTATGCTCTTCAATCTGTGAGGCAGTCAGTGGTCAGCGTCTCTTTTGAATTTATTGTAAAACATTCGCCAAGCCCTAAGACTGATAAATAGCACCGCACACAGGCAATTTGCAAGGTGTCCCAATCCGAACCGAATCCCCACAGTCTCCACCCCCCCGGCCACCACCCACTTGTCCAATGAGAAAGTTTCCTTTTGGCCATTGACCGTCTTATGCGTTGCCATTTGTTGTTGCCATTTTTAATATGTACCTAAGTATATATGTTTATTTGTACACACAACCTATACACACACACACACACACACACACACAGTTACCTACAAACTACTATATATATTAGTCCGTTCTGATGCTTCAATTAATTTTTAAGGTACAACAACAGCAGGTTTGTGGCATAAAACCCATTCTGTGCTGTAACTCTAACCGCATGCTAAGATATAATGGCCGAGAGCTGTAGTAGACAAATAAATGGTTTGATGCAAATTTTAAATTTTTCATAGGTAAATAAATGAGGTTTGGGTTTTCCCTTTGCGGTTGCTATGCAGGCATTAGTTAGATAGAGTGTGGATTCCTTCAAAAGCATTTAACAAATAATGGTGAGGCATAAATTGAAACGAAACCAGAGAGCATCACTCAAATGCCAATCGGTCAGTGTGATAAAATCTTAAACAATATTATTATATACACAGATATACTTATGTATATACATGTTCGTAATATTAACAAACCAAGTAAAGCAAAGGACGTGTGAACAATTTTTGACAAATTTCAGTACAAAGCCTATACAACTTTTGTTCTTCTTTTGTCAGTCTGTTTTGATTATTTATCAATTTAATAGCTTTAAATATTATTAAGCTCAATAAATTTAATTTTGAATATTAATAAAAACTGCAAAGGTAACAATAATAACAATAAATTACATGTCAAGTTTTTTTTAACAAAATATTGTTTTAAATGTAAGTTGATGCCAACACAAATAACTCGAAAAAATAATAATAACAAAAATAAACATCACAGACTGCCGTAGATATCTTTACAGAGTATTCTAGTATTCTAGTAGTTCATTAGAACCCTCATTTGGGTACAGGATACAGAAGCATGCAGAGGAACTGCAGACGAACTGGCAGGGGAAGGAAGAAATTGGTATTCCAGCAGCGTACCCAAAACTATCGAGGATTCCTTTTGTACAATAGTGGGGGAACCTTCGGGTCAGATACGACTCCAGACTTGGAAATCCACTCAATAATTTCCCCCGAAGATGTAGAGCTAAGAATGAGAAGGAAAGCGCACATACTCTGGCTCATTATCCTTCCCAACCATATGTATAGTTTATCGATCGACTTCGACCAACTAGACCATCATCCCAACTACGATTTAGCTTTAATAAAAAACTTGATAGCCTTGCCACGACCTTCCCTGGCTTTCAAATAAATTCCCGTATATTGCTTGCTTCAAAATATGTTATGTGCTTACAATAGCAACATATTTTCTATTAAATTCATCAAGCTTTGTATGCATTATGTATTTAAGTAAGTCTAGCAACAAATCATATGTTGCACAAAGCTGCTTGTTCATTCAATAGCTTTACTTTCATATGAAATATTCACTTGCTACTGGATGGCTCACACTATACGTGTAGTTCCCCCTCTTCCAGCTATTCTGTCCCGCTTCTTCCCTTCCTTCGCCCACCACCTATTGTGCTTGCAGTCTTAAACAACATCAACTAATGCGCTCCTGCTGGACATTTGCAAGTGTCTCGTTTTCTCCTTTTTCCATGAGCTGCAACAACAATTTTCAGTCAATTGTTTGTGCGGCAGGGCTGGCTCCCCTAAGCCAAAATCCCCAAACTACCAGTGTATAGCGCACTATGGAAAAATCAACGATTATAAATGATTCTCATTCTCTGATTACTTCAGAGTTATTCGAAGTAATTCTTCCATAAATCTAAAGTTATTATAAAGAGATTTGCTTTTCTTGAGGCATTTGTTTAGGAAATATTCAAAAGTTAGTCTGCTGTATAATTATTTTTCAAAAACAAAAACCCCTTCGTCACAATTATCATCAATCATAAATCAATCAGTCGGTTATTTTAAAATAAAATTATTATCGAAGTTTAATTCTACGTGTTATACTTTAAACCATAATTTGTTCTATAATTAAATGAAGAAAAAATTACTCTATTGAAATTTTATATTTATAATTTTCTAATTAATAATTGGTAAACATTAAATTATAAAACTATTCTGTAATAATTAAACTGGAATTTTTTCATGTGCCATTTTTAAATGATTCTCTACACTTATTATTAATTTTATACATAGTCATTTGAACAACATTTTTTAACTAACATTTGTTTATAATTGGTATTATAATAATTAAAGTTATATTAATTTGTTTCAAATATATACAATAAATAATATCAAATATACTGCGCAGTATAATGAACTTTATTTTAACATATGACTAAAAAAAAGTCATAATAATTGTATATACTATATATCATTGAAATATTTCATAAAATAAATTTTTATTCCTGATGAAGTCTTGCATTTATTAAGTTTCTAACGCACCCTTGAACTTTTATATATATATAAGTTATAGTTATAGTTATACAAATAGTTATAATATATAGTTATACTTAAACAAATAGCTATGAAGATGGCTGCTATTTGTAATTGTAAAAATATTACATACAAATCTGCACGTTTCACTGACTATCTAATAAATTTGGAAATATATATCATTGGACGATAAAGAGAAGAACAATTCCTTATGGCTTCCAAGACACGCCCTCGTCTTTTGAGCATAAATTTAAAACTAATTTACAATTCGGCTCAGCGTTTTAGGAACCGTCTTTAAAAGCTTTTGTTGGACACTTTTTTCTGAGAGCTGTGAGCTGCAAAATAAGAGAGTGCGTGAGAGCGAAACTAAGAGAACGAGGCTTCGTTGCGATCTGTGCTTTCCCGTTGGAAGCTTAGCTACAGACATCATAACTGGGCGATTAATCAGCTGGCATACAATTTAATACAAAAGAGTGGTTTCTCTGGATATTAATTGATTTTGATAACGGGAAGTTTTCAATTTCTATGGCAACACCTCTGAGAGCTGCGAGCTGCAAAATAAGAGAGTGCGTGAGAGCGAGACTAAGAGAGCGAGGCTTCGTTGCGATCTGTACTTTCCCGTTGGAAGCTTAGCTACAGACATCATAACTTGGCGATTAATCAGTTGACAAACAATTTAGCACAAAAGAGTGGTTTCTCTGGCCATTCAACAAGAACTATACCATTAATTGATTTTTGGCAAAGTTTTCGTGCCACAGTGCACAAGAGCAACACTAACGGGAAGTTTTCAATTTCTATGCCAATACCTAAACACCAGGGCAGGGTGTTGAGGAGTGGGGGGGGGGGAGGTGTAGCAGAGGTAGTTTGAGGTCGATTCGTTCCGCCAGCGCCAGCAGCTTGTTGTGGTTTAATGGATTTGCAGTTTGCAGTTTCTTAACAATTCGACGTTATTTTCGCTCTTTTGCCTTTTGCTCGCGCGCTCTGTTTGCGCTTGACTTTGCTGGCCAGGCTTTTTGTACTTTCTATTTTTTTTTGCCCCGTTTTTTTTTTTTTTTTTTTTTTTTGGTAATTGCTTGCTATTGTTGTCGATGCACATCGATTGCTGTTTCTGCTGCTGCCAGTCCAGAGCCAGAGCCAGAGAACAAGCTAAAGCGTTTCCCAGTGGACAGTAGTGTTTAGGTTTGAAATGCAATTGCGCGAATTGTTCAGCGTTAGATGTGTTTGTGTGTGTGTGTGTGTGGCAGTAAACATATAATGTGTCGCATAAATACATATGGAAATGCACACACACATATATATATATATATATATATATATATATATATATATATATATATATTAGCTACAACAAAATATAAATCAAAACTTTCAGCTGCAATCTGTGCGCCGAGCAAATTAACTCAAACACCTCCGCCCAACAAACACGTATCTAATTTCATTTTCACTACCATGCCACGCACATAAAAAACTAATTCA